AAGTAACACTGTGTTACTGAACAAGTCTAATTCATGATTCTATCTTTCATGGTGGAGGACACAGTTGTCATATAATTCCCACATTATGTAGTCTGCGCTGCATGTGATTTTGGCTTTCACCAACTTTGGTGTAAATTTGGCAGTCTGAAGGCTTTACTCTCTGAACGCTTCAATTGAATTTGGAGCCGAGCCCAACAGCCCATGTTGTCAATGTAGCCCCGAAAGTGCAGAGCAACAAAACCATCATTACTCAGGTGCCTGCCAAGAGTGCACCAGAGAAGCTGCTACTATAAGATGAACATAATAGGATGCTAATAAATCCTCTGGAGATCACCGGGAGTTCAAAATGATGTTTCCCAGAATACTCATCAATCAGACAAGCGAGAGACTGACTTGCTCTTGGAAGGCGTCCTGTTTCAGCACAGCTTTGCTCCGTCTAGTGTACAACCCACACTCGTGTTTTTCCCTAATATCTCAGTTTGATGTAAATAACCGTCATTTGATGACTAATGCTACAACTTTTACCGCTTCACTGTTGCAATTCTTGGCTTCAACTTGTCTGTTCAGAGTATCCATTTTCTCCTGTCTTGTCCTGGTTTCTCTTGTTGTATTCAGTGCTATTCCTGTACATATTTAATGAGTCACTTTGATGCTGTTTAATTAGATTTTTAGCCATAATAGGGGTGTGGCTCTAGTCAATCAGTCGGTCCACCACTTTGGTCGAAACTGAAATATCTCAACAACTAATAAATGGATTGATGTTAAATGTTGTGCAGACATCCATGGTCCTCAGAAGCAAAATAACTTTTTGTCACCACAAAGTTAACATTTCTAGTTTTGAGTGAAATTTCTCAACAACTGTGCCATGATATTTGGTATACATATTAATGTCCCACCCAGGAAGAAGAGTAGCCTAATAACTTTGATGATCCCTTAACCTTTCATTTAGAGTCATTATCAGGTTAAAAAATTCCATGTCCAATTATTTGATTTATGACTAAATACCTGCAAAACTAATAACATTGAGTTGATGAACTTTCATTCTCAATTTTACACTATACTTTATGAAACCATTACATCTCATTGTATTTGACATCTTTCTGTCCCCCTGTATAAATCAGGTCAGAGAGGGTTTCAGACTGTTATCATGAGGCCTTCTTATCATTCTGACATGAAAATCATCAGAAAACACAGATTCCGTTGGTTAAAACAGCTAAGAGGTCCTGTTTTACAGCAGTATTACCCTTCCTTCCAGATGATGTCATTACTTGTCAAAAATGATACAAAATGTGTGGAAATTGATTGATTTTGATCTGATCTTTTGATCTGTTTTGATAGAAACTGACTGAATTGAATTGCACTGGACTATATTATATTAGATAGAATTTGAGTGGATCGGATTAGGTTAGATTGGACGAGACTAAACTAGATTAAATTGGATAAAAAAAAAAGAAAGAATATGATTTAAACCTAAAAAAAAACAAAGAAAATCTTATTTTATCGAAGAGAAAACTTCCATTGTTTCCACTTTGGTCCTCAAAGACAAAAATAACTTCACATGACATAAAACACAATAAGAAAGATCACTGCAAAAAGATCAGTATACAAGGCACTGGCTTCGAATTAATACCTGCATAATGTAAAACATCTCCAATTAACTTCTTAATTAACTACACCACTTTTCCACATTTCAATTTGGACAACTTGTCCACATTATCTATGAGTTGATACATATCCTCCTTGCTCCAAAAAACAAACGCAAGTTATCCCATTAAAAAAATTCCTCTGCATTTAAACTGCATTGTTCTGGATGGGATTTTGTTTTTGTCTTCTTCAAAGGATTTGCTCAGTCTCCCAGTTCATCTTTCAGCCTTTAAAGTGGAGATATGTGCTGGAAAAAAACATTTTTCACTTTGTTTGTTGCATTTCTCTCTTGGCTGAGAGTACCAGCAGCTCCGTGACTGTTTTTCTTTACCGAGAAACTTGTTTAATGAGAAGAGAATGTGAGACAGGAGAGGGACCTTCACACCAACCGCAGCTTCATCAATTAAGATTTTTAAGCTATCAAAAGTCACTTTCATTTCCAATCTGTGGACTGTACGCCTTCCTCGAAGAATTAATGATAGGCTGACTCTGCCATGGGTTTACTCCGACTACCAGTATAACAATCCACTGCAGGAAGTGTAAACAATCTTCCCTCTGTTCACCAGATCAATTCTAATTTTGTTCCTGAAGTCAATACGCTTCTCATATCCCTCTTTTTCTCCAGCTACCATATTTATCGGACATTTGCGTGCACGTAGAAGGTTAAATCAAATCTCATTTTCTGACTAAGATCATAATGTATGATTTACACTGTTTCATGAAAGCAGTTTTCTCTTCCATTGTGGGATTGGAGCTGACACCTTTCTTGTTCAAAGACACTGTTATGATCCACTGTGATACTATTCCTCTCATCTTTTGCTGGGGCATTAGCACGTACTTGGATTTGTCTCTTTTCAGGGTATACTTCTTTTGATAAACACTGCTACAGACTGCACAAAGAAAGTCAGAAAACCTGAAAATACTACATTCACAAACCGCATTCATAGAGTGCGCTTTCATCCACCTGTTTATTCGCATTTTACATTTGCATATATAAAAAACCTAAAAGATTTATGTGAAAACACTGAAAAACCCTCAACAGGAAAGAAATAATGGAAAATAGAAAGAGATAAGAGCATATAGAAGCACATAAATCATGATGTACACTGTTAAGACTGTTAAGACTGTTAAGACTGAAAAGTTCACTTAAGGGACAAACCACTGCAGATGATGAAAGCATCAGGTCTGCGTGGAGCGATGGAGAGATGAAACTTTTCTCAAATTAATACATAAAACAAACATATATGCCATATTTTCATGGTGTTTTCTATATGGATTTCTACCACTTGAGGTTTGACTGGTGCTCTTGTAATTATGTCATCTTATTCTGCCCGATACAGTGTAATGGGAGCTGACTGACTCAGCCACCAAATATGTATCTCTATGAACTGACACCTAATGTGCACGGTAGTGGATGAATATGTGCTTGCATTTTCTTTTTCCAATTTTTTTAACATTCGGTTAAACCTGTCTACAAAAATCTGATAAACAGCGCCTTTTTTGCGCACAAAACTAAGACTAACCTTCCTAAGATTGAAATGATGAATTGATGTCAGTTCCACTTGTATTGCTTTCAATGCTACCTCACTCTGTTGGTGTGGCAAGACAACCAACAGCTATGTGCTTCCTCTGATTTGAGGTCTTTACAAGTCTAATATTTACAGTGGAAAACCAATCCAAAACCAATGTGCATGAATTCATTCATAGACCTGAGGACAATTACACTGAATCCAATATGGTGCCAACCCAAACAGGACCAAATAGAGTGAGAACACCAACACTTGCAGCAGCACAATACCAGTTAACAAGCAGCCACCTTGATGAAAGAAGAAAGAAAAAAGAAGAAGAAAGCATCAGACTTGGGTCCTAGATGAATGTCAGTCACAAGAAACAGATTGGACCAGTGAAAACTTCTACTTACATCTTCACTGAGAGCGCATTGTGCACACAGAGGTTAATGCTATCCAGGAGATCACCCCGGACTGCAGCCACTCCGTGCAGATGCCCAACAGGCCAGTGAAAGAAGCTAGCACAAAACGTAACCCCTCACTGGCTTCCCACCCACTACATTACATGGCATTTATTTGGCTGACGCTTTTTGTCCAAAGTTACTCACAATCAGTACATTCAACTTGCTAGATCTCATCAAGAACTGTGAGTGAATTCCTCCTATACAGACAAGAGCAAGTTCAGTGCTGCAAATAGTGTGCTTATATTTTCTCTTTTTACTGCTTCTGAGAAAGGAACACAGCTAGTCCTAACCTACAGAAGTATCAGCCAGTAAACAGTTTAAACAAAAAGAAGCCAACAGTAAAAGACCTAGTAATATGCATATAGCGATTTTAGTAAAATAATACAGAGATCATTTTCAAAAGGGGTTGAAACTTCAGAAATATGTGCTGTTATGTAAAATGTTTTTTAGGTGGTCACATATTAACATTTTCTTGGCTCTGTTTTCTGGGGACCTTGGCTTAAAGACAACTGGATCTGGCACAACAAAAATAATTCTAAGGAGCTATTCCATTCGTAATTCCTTTAAAGTCTGTTGGGAGTTTCATTTCCTCCACATTCAAGTTGTTCCAAGAATGAGGTGAGAGTGTGACTCTGTGCTAGTAGAAAATAACACTCGGATGCTTTTTGTCGCATGTTGCCGCCTTCCACGATGATCAAAAGGTTCTGTCATGAAACTACGAAACTGGGTCCTCCAAAGGTGGGGACGCCTGGCAAGCCTGCCGCCTTTAGAGGAGGCAAGCTCATCTTATTAAGACTTGAGGAGCTGTGTACTGTATGTATCTGCCTGCTCGGACATTTTAAACATAGCAGCGGCTCATACACTGCAAAAAGATTTTTAAAAAAGCTCACAAAAAGCAATTACCAAACCTACAGTCCTTGTCAGTTTAAGTAATCTACTTTATATTATGCATGCCTGCTAAAGCTGACAGACAGTCTGTTGCTCTAATGTGTATTTGAAACTGTACCATACTGTGTTGGTAAAGTTTTGTTGAGTTTATTATATATACAATTATGCATTGATTGGTAGGACATCTATATTATATTTCTATAACACATTTAGTTTCATTTCAAAGGCTGCTGGGAGCAAAATCATAACCACATTGAAACTGTACAGGAAAAAATATAAAACAAAATCTCAAAATGCTGCTGTCTATTTTGTTTGAATTACAAAGTGGGTCTGGAATAATGCAGCTTGTCCCACCTACTCACAGATAAAACAATTTGCCCAAGTGAAATTATGATGTCAGGTAAAGTCACTGACAGGAAATTATCTCCCAGATCTGCTTGAAACTGCAAAGTGAAATCCAAATGATCAAAAGTGAGCACTCAATCCACGGAAATACCTTTTATCTCCATCGTGCTGTGTGCAGTTAAACTCATTCAGACACTGAATCCTCAGAAGGGCGCAGCTGTTTTCTCCATGGCACCTGAAGTCCAAATGAAATGGCTTCAGAGACAACAAAGGTCCAGTGTGTTACATTTATGAGGATCTACTGGCAGAAATTAAATATGATATGCATAACTATATTTTCATTAGTATATAATCACATGAATGTAAGAATCGTTATGTTTTTCTTACCCTAGCCATATTTCTACAGTAGCCCAGAAGGGACAAACTAACACTGCTACCATAGTTATTCCTCCGTGTTTGGAAGGGGAGAGTGAAGCAAGGGAGTTGCGATCTGCAATTACACCACTAGATGCCACTAAATCCTACACCCTGGACCGTGTTGTATTGTTAAGCAATTTTTTGTAACTGTTTTGGAAGGCACAGACAAATTATGTCATCCAGCCAACAGATGTGTCAGATCAAAAAAAGCTTCTATGTACTGTTGTAGAGGGGAGGGGAAAACACATTTTGAATTTTCTGTAATGCTATTTCCAAGTGGAGTTAATGCCTGGTGTCTGATATTTAAATCCAGTGTTACAGAATGATAGTGCTACAGTGATCCATGCCAGGACCACAAAGCTGAAGCAGCTGGCTCGGTCACACCCTGATCAGTGGATTTGCTAGCGGGGTCAGAATAAATCTGCACAAATATTTTGCCTCAACTTTGGTGAACTTTGACCTGCGAGTTTGACCAATAGCAATCTGTCTTGACAGTGCAGACCTTTGAGGGGTCAGAAAGCCAGAGAGAAAATTGAGGAAGCTATACAAGCGTATTAACTGTGTTTGTGCAAAAAAAGAGTCGAGGGTACAAATACATAGTTTGAATAAACTGTGTGAAGCTAGCCTAAGCTAACATGCTGACAAGTTTGCTGACTGACAGCTAGATTCTAGCTAGTGTTTTTTCCCCCTCTTGAATTACGTTTTATGGAACAAAAAGGTGTGCAATGGTGAATGGAGAAGTAAACAAAATAGCAGACATAAAATAGAAAGAAGCTCTTATGCTGTTAGCTCGCAGGCTACAGGTGTTCTAACTAACCAACCCTATGAGGAGTCACTATGTCACCAAGCTTACAGCCCCACCTATTTTGCATGGACTGCCACTTTGTGGTGTGCCCATTGCCGAGTCTACTTCACATACATAAATGTGCGTTGCCATCGCCGTCATTTGTAATGAAGAGCAAGCACGGAAATCACACCCGTTCGATACTGCTCAGCGTTCCAACAGAAGACAAAATGATGATGACACTGTGCCATAACCACAGTCGGACCAGCGCTGCTACAGCACAGCACCACTGCAGGGTGAAGAGAAGAAAATTGAATTTCGAGCTCACTGGCAGGCAGGCAGGAGTCTGTGATGAAATCCTCTCTGAGATTTGCAAAACTAGGTAAAAGCGAGCTCTGAATGTCAAATGCTTATCTGATCCAATCACTTGCGTGGGTTCAGTTTGTGTCAAAGACGAGAAGCATTTCACCGCTAATTAGTGAAATAATCCCTGATCTGAGTCATCGTCGTAAGCACGGCACAGAGCATGTGTTGGGAATTTGACTCATGTGCTCTTCATGGTTCACTAGGTTGCTGATATAAATGGAAGATTGATAAGCTCCCATCTGATTGTCCTTCTGGCTCCAAATTGATGACACACTTAGTGATTACTGAACTGTTGAGCAGCTAATTTGTTCATTGCTCATTATGTACTATAACATAACTGCTTATTATTTATTTATTTATGTTCTGGCAGCTATGTATTGTCCTCTTGAATTAGATTACTATGATGACTATTATTACTGGTGGTGGTATTATATTAATGTTAATATTATTAACAGTAGCAGTGGTGCAGAAGTACTTTAATCAATTAATGCACATAAGTACAATTTTGAGATACTTGTATGTTAGTATTTCCATTCCGTTACTACCTATTTCTACTTCACTACATTTGGGTTGAAAAAATTGTCATTTTTACTCCAGGTACTACTTTATTTACCAACTATACGTACTAATTACATTTTAGATGAACACTTGACATACAAAACATGATCATCTTATAAAATATGATGCACTGTTGTTACTGTTGTTGTTATTTATGGATAATTAAATTATCCATAAGTGTACAGTATTAAGAAGTTACAATTAGCTAACACCTATCAGCTATAACGTTAAGATGCTGTTTACACAGTAATGCAACAATAACAATAATCCAATATTATAATAATACACTGACAGCCTTCATCAATTCTGGCGGATAAAAGAGGTAGTGTTTCCACCACCTCGTCTCATTGATTTCAAGGGGAATCAGACCAAATCCAACCCGGTGGCAGGCATTCAGAATAACTATACAGGAAAAGCTAATCTTCTCGCTGACAGTCTTGTGTGCTTATGTAGGTCATATAGAGGCATCAGTAATACATTTAGACTGTTTCATAAGGTTATATGTTTAATACAAGAAGTTGTTTATTTTTACATTGTGATATTACAACTTATCAGCCAATCCCATTTTGGTTAAAACACAGGAACCTGTTTGAACAGTACTTTGTGTATTTCTTCTGCCAATGACTGATATTATTGTTAATGTATTAGTATATTGCCGATTGTGTTAAAGTGATACTGAGACTTTTTGGCGTCCCCAACACACCATTTAGACAGAAAATGACAAATATATTTTTATGGCTATATCATGGTTGTTTTTATGGTTGATGTTGGGATTTCATACCAAAACCAATAATCAATAAAAAACATTGCAGATTACTGAACAGTCCCCTCTGCTCCGCCTTTTTTTTCCTTCAGATTTTCACCATCTAACCAATATAAAATGACACTATTAAATGATTCCTCGCTGTGCTTTCAGGAGGAACGATGCTCTAAAGCACCATTTCATTCTGACTTAAACACTAAATTTAACCAAAAAAACAGTAATTTGAGTTTGAGCAGCAACGTTTGAGGAGCTGCTGAACGTCTGATTATCTTCTCCTCAATCAGACGGATGGTGTTTTTCTCTAACGTTGGTCCACTCGCCCTCTTCTAGACCCACATGACTTTGTCCTAATTACTTTTGCCAACAGAGGTGAAAGTGGATATTTGAATCATTAGACACGGACACTCAGCTCACCACTTCTCATATCTGATATTATCATATATCATCATTTGATATTGTCTCTAAAAGTTAACCTTCAGTGGGGAGGTGGATCACACCATGGCAGTGTTCCCTCTTATGTGAACCCATTCAACACCAGGCACTTATCCAAATACCAGGAATATTAATTATGCTAATATAATAACTGAAAAGTATTATTATCATTTGAATGATATGAATATAAGTAGATTTCATTTTGTGACCAGATTAGCGCTGTCAAGTGCAAACCCAAATAGCTGCTTTTTCTGTCTGTTAAGCAGCTTAACGTCTCTGTTAAAGGATAAAGTTGTTGTTTTCCAAGCCAGACCTGGTGGAAGTGATGTTTCCCCTGATTTAGAAATCTGCACAAAACAACATCACTGAGAGATTAAAGCATTCCGCTGTAGCTCCTCCGTAGGTTTAAACACCCAAATCTGACCATCGTTTAGGCCTTTAAAGAAACAGGATAAATGTAGTTTTGGAAGGATCTGAAAGCGCACTCACACTCAAAGAACGTCTATATGTTCTAGTCGTAAAAAGTAGGTTGCAAACCACATTTTACATCAGGTTTTATTGACTTGACTATTCTTGGCTACCAATGTGCCAGCAGCAGACAAAAAAAAGACAAAAAACTCAATAAGACCTGATAGCGAGCATAGCTGTAAGTAATATATTTTTCAATAGGGGACATAAAGACATGTCTGATTGCACATTGAGCTTTACAATTTTTGAGAACAGAATTTATTGTGGCTTTTGAAGGCCTTTTGATTAACCCCGTTGGACTGCTTTTAGTGAGAGGTTGCAGCAGAGCAATTATTCTCGCCATAACAAGCTTTAGGTGTCAAGACTGACCATGTGTCTGTTCCTCTCTGCATATGTATCAGCTTATATATCAGCTCTCTGGAACTTCAAACACTTCTTTTTGCTGTTCCTGTTTTCCTGTGACCAAGAAGAAAACCAGAATTCATTTTGTCTACAAAGGAAACCATGTGATGTCAGAGCAATGTTTTTTTTTTCTATCTATGACTAGATATCATGAATTTCTCTCTTTAAACCTTCACTCTTGTCTTGTCCTTTGACCCAAAATGTTAAAATGTCATTGAGCAAATATTCTTAAACAAATTCTGAGAATTCTCAGCTGTACTTCAGGACAGAAAAGAAGACAATTTGTCCAGTATGGCTGTCTCTGACAATCCACAGAGAATATGAATAAAATTGAGCAAAATGTAAGAATGGACTAACATAAAAATATATATAAAAAAACATCAATCAATATTAGAAAATATAAATGTAATATTGCTGCAGAAATGCGCCCTGCTTCAGACCCTGTGAGGTTGGCACCCTGACCTGTGCTATCTGATGAAAGCTTTAATGTTATTCATGCCTTCAGATATGTGTTTACAGTAGTATGCATGATCCCACTGGGAACAGGCCGGCCAGTGATGTCTTGCTCTGCCCATTGAGCTACACAGCACCAGCGGTTTTTGGCATCGACAAGAGAAACCAAGAGGATTATGTACTCCGCCTGCCAGCACAGTCTTTTGATCAGAGGCCAGGTAATATCAGGCAATCTACATTAATCCTACCATCTCTGTCTCCTCTTAGTTCTCTCTTCTCGCCCTCCCTTCTTACCAGGTTGTTATCAGTCTGAGGGATAATTAAGCCTTGTGGGACTGCTGTAGGCTTTCCTCCTCTAAGTTGTCAAAAGTTAGAGGGAGGCAGATCAAACGCCTTTGAAACACAAGAGAAAATAAAAAGCTAATCTACCAGAGACAACAGACGTATTGCTGAAGATACATTGCTCTTCTCTGACTCTCATCTTGCGCTTCAAGATAAAAGTTCACTCAAACTCTGGGCAGAGTTTGAAACGGCCTTCTAAACAAATTTACAATTAACAGGAAGACACATTCGAGTTTAATACTGAAACCCATTTTAAAAAGATTGAGTTTAGTGCTTAACTGATTAATCGATTAACCCGTCTAATCACAGAAAATTAACTGTTTAAGTCATTTATCTAGCAAAAGCTTAAAACTATGGCTTCTCAAATGTGAGGAGTTTCACATTTTAAACTGATGGACAGGAAACACAAGCATTATAGTGACATCGCCTATCTCCAGGGACTTCATTTTGCAATTTTGTAACATTTTACATAATAACTAACTATTAATAAGTTAAGTTATTCACAAGTTAAGTGAAGCAGAAGTAGTTGCAGCCCTTCTTCATTCAGTACTAAAATAAAATTGATCCCACAATTCAGAGTTTGAATTTATGAAATGACGACATAATTAACAAAGTTCAGCAGCAACATCATTTCTCCAAACCAATTCAAGTTCACTGATGTTAAAACGTCTCCATTTTTGCAAGTAAAAATAGTCAGGGATGTTTAAAAACGTATTAGTGATTTTTCCTGCTAAGAAAGGCAGTTTGGAGCACGAACACATGCTGTCCTGAGCCAGAAGCAGCTGTTTGATTGAATTCTTAATGCACACATACGTTGGGGTCTCTCCACAGCAGATCAGTGCACCAAACCATGGGAAACGTTTTAATTGTTAAAGTTGCTGTCATTTAGAAAAAGTGAGTTCTTCTGCATAATTAATGTTCTAAACTTTATATAAGTGATTTGTCTTATTTTCCAAGATACTCTTGCTTAAGCTACAGAGCTCTCTGTAAGCCTCCTTAGCAAAGTGGGTTTTTAAAAAGCGTTTACCCCTTTTACCCCCTCAGTTTGATCCAAATCATGTTTCAATCATTTGATGAATAAATTAATCTCTGCTGTTCTTTCTTCCCAATTACACTGATGCATAAATCTCCATTTCAACAAAAAGACAGTTTATCCATTTTGCATACAATTAAAACTGAGAACTCTCACATTTGGATTAAATGATGACACACAGACTGAAAAGCAGCACAACTGTTGTTCTGGTAACAAGTGTCACATTTGTGGCAACAGTTAAAATGTGCCATCATCTAATTTAAAAGTAATGTGAGGAAATGATTCACAATCTGAAGCACCTTTAAAATAATCCTGGAAAACAAACATGTTTTAAACTCTTACCTGCCTGCTGATGTGGTCAGGCTGTATGTTGTTTGTGGGAGGGTTTCTTCTGTAGACTGGCATGGATCCTTAATCATACAACGAGAAGGCCTGAAAAAGGCACAGATAGAGAGAGAAACAAACAATAAAGGGTGACGCATTTTGTTTTATAACTCAAAAGACTATAATGCATTTTCACCCACACACCCTCTAATGAACTGTCTGGCCGTTTGATACAGAGGACTGCATGTTCAGTCACATTTAAGCATCAGACTCTCACAAACAGAGCATCCTCCAATGAAAGTGCTCTTTTCCAAAACACTACATCTGTGTTTAGAAGGAAAAAAACTGGCTCATTATCAGCTATTTCTGAAACAGTGTTGACCTGTTAATTCCCAATTTGAGCTACATACACACCATCTGAAAACAATGCAGTGTTATATGTGCACTCAAGATTAGAAATGGTATAGTAAATAGTATAGTATATTTTACATACTGGCCAGTTGTACCCCCCATCTAAACACTGAGTCAAAATGCCATTTTGCATTTCAATTCCACCATTTTGTTATCCATTTATATTTTCTTTGTCTAATTCAAATGTTACTCTAATTCTAATCATCACATTAGTTTTGATTTGATTTGTTTGGTGCTGTCAATCATTGCCCTTTTAATAAAGTATGAATACAATATGTCATTTTGACAAGACAAAACTTTATATGATTAACACTATATGATTATGCTTAGAAATGTATATTTATTAGGCAGCATAAGAAGCTGTAAGTACCCAAAGCACCCAAAAATAGCAAGGAAAATGTAATTTTTACACAATCTGTGTAAATTACCATACATGTGTGACAAGTATAACTGTTTTTTTTTCTTCTAATTCAATAAGACCACTCTGTAAAGTGTGTCTAATTCTCATTTTCAACAAAGTTAGAGAAAATCTAAAAATAAAAGAGGAAATAACAAGTAGCTCACGATGTGTCGACACCAAGCAACCTGCGGCCAATTTCAGACTAATTTGTCAAATGCAGCATCTGTTTATGGCACCGAATCCACACTTGGGTTTCAACTTGGATTTGCTGCATCTAACATGTTATGCTGTGTGTTCTGTTCACTCTTAGTACAAGATGCCAAATTGCAGGAGTAAGAGAGAAAGTCTGGTTCTTGCAAGGCTGCAGCCTTGATTATAAAAAAAAAGATTCTGGTGCGAGCAGATGGCAGTGTAGACTTTCCTTGCTTGTTTAAAAGTAAGCAGTCCACCCACCTTCCACATTTTTCACACTTTATTTTGTCGAAGCGAAAGCTGAAAAGGGGACAGACTACTGAAGGCCAAGAAAATAAGAAAACATCTCCATTGTTTTAATGTGGATTGATATTTTTGAGTTAAGAGGTTGTTTTTGGTTATTTTTCAAAATTAAAATTGACCTTTGAATCTTTGAGTGACGGAGTATTAACTTGGAGGAACACAATGGTTTTGCCAGATGGAAGGTAAATTTGTTGATATTGAATGACTCAGTCCTGAATCATGATTTGTCCGGAGGTTTGCTAACAACATTTGATCAGTACTCAATGTGCTGCCCTGTCTCCTCAAATAAGATTATTTTCAATACAGAAGTGCAAACATTTTACAGAACAGAACCCAAACAGAACAGAAGCCACAGGGAGCTGAGTGAGGTGGATGCTTGGTGTGCAAAGGCCGAGGTTCAGAGAGCCATCTGTGGTTAAGTTTAGGTGACAAGAACACTTAAAGTTAGGGGCAACAAAGCACAAGATCTGAAACCACATAGGGACAGAAGTCGAAGCACAAAACAAATGTTAAAACTGTGTAACGGTGCAGAAACACGGAATCCAGCGAGGACGCGTCTGGATGCATCGGACCACTGCATGCTCCGGCTGGTGGGTGACAAAACTGTTAATTGGGCCGTGTTTGGTTTTGGATCTGCCGCGTTTAGCATGGTGGCCGGCCCAGGAACTTTTACATATCATAGCTAAACAGTACACTAAAGTATTGTGATTGTATTGTTGAGGCAAGAAATTGGCAATGCAGAAACAGAATGAGTGAGCGTGCCGTAAAAAAACTCTCTCAGCACGCTCTGAGATCTTTATTTCTCTAATTTCCTTTTGTGCTTGCTCAATAGTTTTGACATTAACAAAATGACACTGATTTGTAAGCTGCCTACCTTAGTACAAGTTGTTAAATTTGTTTACAAGCTGTATTGCTTCGCCTTCCCATTGTTTCTGCCTGTTTATTGATCCTTGAGCTTTTTCACCCCACTGCAATACTGAAACTTTAATATGATGTCTTGAATTTAAAGGAAGGTTGTAAAGGTTTTGAAAAGTCCAAGGCAGCTCACACAGAGCGAGAAAAACATCCGTAAAACTGAATCAAAAAACATGTCAGGGACACTTTTCATGCCCGCAAAGCACATGAAAGAGGTCGATTCAGGTAAAAGCCATGTTCCTCTATTGTTTCCTCGAATAAATATCTATACCAATTTCAATAGATGGGATGCAGGTGAAGAGAAGAAGCCAAATCAATGGAAAAGATTTTAAAGCTACAGGATAACAAGGATGTGGAGAATGGGACTGAAGTTGGATACGAAGGTGATGACCCTAATATTTTGTTCGTTCAATCAAACCTGTGTTGAGGACAATTTTGTGGGCCCGCCAACAAACATAAAAATATCCTGTGGAGTTGTCCTTTACAAAGAAAGAGAGAGTGATGGAGATCCTCGCTGAGGGTAAATCCAGCAGCAATAAATGTAATTTCTAATTTTAAGAGGTCCATTAATTCTTGTCAGCACCTCTACCAGTAGTAGTTTTGATGGGGGTCACGTGGAGAGCTAACATTCATAACAACTGCCATATTACAAATAGATGTGGCTGGCAACAGCGTCCCGTTTTGACAGCGTCCTCTCGGAAATAACATATGATGCCATTAGGCGCCATTATAGGTCAAACCCCACACAAACACACCCCAGCAGACAGGGAGCAACAGTAAATCACTCTAATCCAACAGTGAGATGAAGGCAGGTTATTCCCACATTGCTGAGGGGACGGGGATTTGTGTCACAAGCTGAGCTGCAGTTTACCAGCTTGAGTCATGATGAAAGCTGTGATAGAGCTCAGCTGTCATTCAGGAGGGCTGAACCACAAATCTCTGATCACCTGCCTTCAACACCTCCAAAAACCACAGACCGCATGCTTCAGTCAGCGTGGATGTGATGGGATGCCCGGGGAAAGATGCAGCTCTTGTACCAATGTGGTTTTTCTGTCACACAAAGAATCCGGATGCACACATTTTATGTCAGCTGTGTTACGAAAAAACAGAAAAAACTAAACAAAAAATGCAGTCAAAAATCTGACAAGCAGCCAGGGCTTATTTGTGCAGGATTATCTTTTTTCTTTCTTTGCTTTCGTTATAGATCAGAATGATCATCGGTGATGCTGTTACCCTCCTGGTCCCTAAAGCAGAGATTTGACTCCTCTCCCTCTCATCCTCTTCCAACCCTCAGTTCCACTGAGCCTGCCTATCAATACAGAGACACTAAATGCTGCTCAGACAGTCAGAAAGAAACTGCAGCGTGCCTTTTACACTTTTAACACCCCCACTGTACAGCTTGCATGAGCACAAACTAACTGAGCAGAGAAATGTTGAGATTTGAGTCTATTAGAGGGGATAGTATTGTGTTGGGGAAAGGAGAAAGAGAGGAAAATTGTACAACACCCAAAGTCTGCAGAAGTTGTTTGCTCCTTTTCACAGAAGACAAAAAGCAAAAAACTGATAAAAGGAGAAAACGGTGAAGATTACAACCAGAGATGCAGAGCGAGCTTACCTGCCCACGGCGCAGACACACAAACAGATTTGTGGCTTTCAGCTTACGCTCCGCGCCGCTCCACTCAACTAAATCACTTCCATGACTCACACAGAGGGAGGATAACCGGCTCTCAGGGAAAGTGGAGTAAACACGCGTTGAAAAGGCAGGCAGGGTGCTCGCTCTCGCTGCAGTGCTGCTATCGCTCATCCTTGTTTCTCCTCCTCTGCCTCTTTCTTTGCTTTGATCTCTCTCTCTCTCTTTCCAGTGGTGCCCCCCTCTCTCTCCATCTCTGCCACCCCCTCACTCTCCACCACAAGGTGTCACAAACAGAGTGTGTCTGCACCCACTGCCTCTTATTGGCTCTCACTTCTCTCTCTGCATCTCTCTATCCCCACCACCCCTCTCACCCTCTCTCTCTTTGGATTGTCTGCCTTAAAGAGGCAATGCATCACACCACAGCTGCACAACTCGGAGTACGTCCACACTTAAGCTAAATTTAAAGACGCTGTTTATGAGCAGAAATTGGAAAATAAACAGCGTTTTTAGGTCCTTTTCATAAAGAGCTCTGTCCTAAAAGCCCTAAATAATAGGAAAATGACTAAATGTGTTTTTCCTCTTCCTATCTAAGTTGACAAACAACAAAACTGTTGCAGCAAACATCTACATAAGACTGCCCTCCTTTCTCACCTCTATTGTGTTTTCATACAGCTGAAACTCACAATTTAGTTTTTCTCATATGCTTCTCTTCCTGCTGTCAGACAACTGAAGGGGGATAACATGTCACACACGCTACCTGTTAACCAATTATCTGGACAAGTTTCACTAATCAAAACCAACGCCATATCTGCCACCAACGCATCAGCCCAGCAGCACTCACACATTTATCACCATTTAATAAGGGAAAATCATTTGTGAAATGTGATGCTTCCACCATTTGTGATCTGCAAGAAAGCAGTGGGTAAATTCCTCCGTGACTGTACACTAATAAAAACATACCTATGAATTTTATATTCCATTTCCATAAATGCTTTTGACGAGGGATTGTCCAAAAGCGTGTGTGCAGTTATCATGTCTGTCTCTATGAAGGAGATGGCCATAAGGAACAGCTGTAATTGTTTTTGGCTTTAAACATGGTTGGATGAAATGTTATGTTAACTAGTTAGATTCAAGCGTATGCTAATTTGAACTCTAAAAGGAGAACGAGTGGCTCTTCTAGAGGGACTTTCAGAAGGCTTTGAGGGAATAGCTTGTTACAAATCTCATCAATGGCAGCCCTGACCCTCCCTCATATGTCAAACAACATAAGGATTAAAAAGATGAAATGGGGCAAACAACGTATGCACAAGCGCTCAAAAAGCCCAAATTTATAAAGAAGTAGAGACCTTTACCTGTCTACACATACATACTGTCAGCCCCCCCCCATTAATCTATTTTTTGTCTATTATCTCTACATGTATTTTTAATTGAAGACATTTATCACATGTAAAGATGTAAAAATATCACACTGTGTAAGATGCATAAATCCAAATAAACAATATCTAAGGACTGTGAATTTTGAGTGGATATAACCTTTACTGATCAATTCAAACTGGGTCTGTGCTGAAAGGGGGCCAGGAGTCAAGTTGCCAATTTGCAATTATAATTAGCCTTCAAGCCCCTTCAAATGTAGATTACATATATTCTCCATGCTGCCATGTCCTCGTGTAATATTTGTCCTAAATCTGCATGAAAAACAGATTAATGGCATAATCACAGATGTGTTGAAGGCGTAAAGTGCTCTCAGTGATGTTGTGTTTTGGTATCAGAAAATGTGCTGCATCTGTTTTAAAAATGTAAGCGTCCTAAATCATTCAGATCACACCGTGTAACATAACGCACCAACACAGAATCCCCGCTGTTACAATACTCCTGTAAGCATTAGCCTAATTCAAGTGCAGCAGCTTTCATATGAACAGGAAATTAAAGAGGAAGGCTGGAACATCTGTCCTGCTCTTATTGGGAACTACAGTGTTAAAGATCCAGAGATAGATGAAGGATTTTTACCATAACATTATCTATTTTTCAGCCTTGAGATGCATTTGTTCACTGGTTGGAAGGTTCAACATGCAGAATTTCATGGTCAGCAGATGGTTTTTATCCCTGTATTTTTTAAATTTCTTTTCTGAAAATAAAACCTGGAGGACAGATATTAGGTATGAAGCAAACATCAGTGTCGGAGGAAGCTGGTGCTGTAACACATGCCTTTGTAGATGTTGTAATAAAATATTGTACAATTATTTTTCACTTGACTTGACTGAGGCAGCTATTTTTTTATATTAATATTTTAATTAGTTTTCATCTTCCTAAAAGCATAGCTAGCTCCAATGATACATGAGGTCTTTTGAAGATACATGAAGGTCTCTTTGAATTGAAGAAAGATATTGGTGGTACCATGTTTATTTCGTACATACATTTGTTTGCTATTTCCAAGCAGCCCCTAGTTTCTACTAATTTCCAGTACTGAGAAAAACTACAGAAAGACACAAACAATAATAAACATTTCATAAAGATTCAACTTTGAGTTCTGAACAGTCAGTCAATTTTGGTTAATTCTTTTTTTTGTTGCTAGCTTGGACCAATTTGAAAACTGTCCTTGGTGATTCATTCAAGGACGCACAGCGATCTACTATTTGAATCACCTGCAGCAACGCATTGCATTCATGGTCTTAAGTGTTAGAAAAATCTAACCTAGAGGATAAATACTAAGAGCATGTAGATGCTGGGAAAAGCAAGGTGTAAATTTGGCTGTATCTTACATCAAAGATAAAGCTGTTTAGCAGTTGTCAACTCAGGTGTCAGAGCAATCTAAAAGCGTTTTACAGAACATCCCTCCTTGCAACCACAACACAATTACCTTGCAATAATGTGTAGCTTTGACAAACAATACAGCTAATAAATGTTCAGCGAGATGGATTATGTCTCTAAAGAACATTTAGGTCACTGTTAGTTGATTTTCATACTGTTGTGAAATGAGCTGAAACCTGTGTCTGCCTGGCAGTAATAAAATCAATGAACAAAGGTATGTATGGAAAAATGTCAGCAGTAATGTAAAGTGAATGCAATTTGTAGTTAATGGGCTAAAATGCTAAAATGTGCAAAACGGCTTTATGGCCCTTTAACACATGATAGTTTTTAACTGTGATATGATACTAGTCAGAATGATTAAAGAGATAATGCCAGACACATTTTTATTTTTCTAAGCAGTTAAAAATGTGAAAATTTAAAAATGGCATCACACAAGCCTTAATGCTCCTGTATGTTTCTGGAGTGAAATAAAAATGTTAAATGTTAAAGTGCTATTACACTAATGGCTCCTAATACAGAAAATCTATCTGCCATCTATTTTCATTATTATAATTCTGCTAACATCTGTCGCCAGATGGTCTGCTCTGCATGGCTACATATATTTAGGTGAATTTACCAGTATTTTATTGACAATGTGGTATTATTATATTTCTACGGTTGTGTCTTATGACTTTGTGTTGCATGGCATACGTGTTTAGTGTACTAACTATTTTTATTGACATTTTATTAAGATTAATATTATTGGTTGTTTACATTTTATCTGCTTAATGCTTCCGTGCATGCAAGGTTCAAGGTTGTTTATTGTCATTTCCACATACAGAGTAAACAGGAAGGTTCTGTTGCTTCATATTGATTTGTATGGCCACATATACTGAACGGTTATTATACTGAATTAGAACATCTTGTCATCTTGCAGTTGAAAATTAGCTAGCTGGCTAACACTGGTACATTCAACAATCCAAATGAAATTAAAAAAGGCATTTTTAACCCTTTAAGATGAATCCCCTGCCATATTGTACCCCTGTTTAACAATATATGCCCATAAAACGACAAAAACCCAATTTCTTCTACCTTCTGCGGTACCTTCTGTTAGCGTGCAACTGCAGCCTCTCAGTGAACACAGATGGACTTGTAGCTAAAAGTAGCTAACTGCCACCAACACCAACAGTAATGTTTGACGCTGTTAGCTAGTTAGCTTGTGCAGCTAACCTTCACTGATTTAGCCCTGGGGTGCCAGGAGCCGGACCCAGCAATAAAAACACCTTGGTACTTTAGTCACTGTCGTTAAACTGTCCTTCGTCAGCATTGCATGCTGAATTCAGTCCCGGTCTGACCGTGCTGTTCACTGGGAGCTCCCACTCCCACCACAGTCAGCTTATGTGGACTTCAATGACAAGAAACTTAAAGGGTAACTTTGCAATGCAACATGTTCAAGTTAAGGTAAGTTAAGGAGTTAATCATTTCTGTTATTTTGGTACAGCTGCTTGGTACCAAGAACTAACATGCACTATGGAGTCAACATGGTGATTATATCAGGAGCCTAAAGCAACTGTCAATGTTCAGTCCACTCAAACAGAAAACAGGCTTCAGTGCCCAGCAGACCCATCAATGCCTCAATATTCTCCACTCGCCTGATTAAAGCCTTTTTTTTTTTTTTCTTTTTGGTATTTTGTCTTGGGAACTCTTATTTCAACAATCTTCACTCTGGAGCGACTTCATTAAGGGCAAAAGTTCCTCGTCAGCCTCTCTGAGTGGCAAACAACCTGGAACCATTAGCAGCCATGATGATGAGTGACAGTAGGCTGACTATTGATACAACAAGGGGAATGAAATTACACATCAGGGGCCTGGTGTGTACTTTAGATATTCATGTGTGCTTTGGAGACAAGCTAAGCTAATTCATGAATAGATGAATAAATCAATTAAAAATTGATGAGGCGATGCAAAGTCCTGCTCAAAGACATCCACGGGTGACTGGTCTCTCGGCATTGCGTTGCATGACCTTCTTCTCTCCGAAATATGAATATGGATTTCCTGCCTGAGAAATCAACTCTGAATGTGTCAGAACAAGTCTTAATTAACTGTTTTAAAAGTTCAAGTTGCTCTGACAGCGTCTGAGGCCGACAGATGACACTTTAGACTATCACAAATACACGAGCAGGGGAGGAGGGTGAGGAAAGAGAAAGAGATTGAATTTTCTCGAGCAGTTTGACACAGTCTCGCTGATAACGGATGCAAATTACTATTTCCTCCATCTGGAACGCATTAAAGAGAAGATCTTATCATATTTAGCTGCCAAACAAAGTAAGAACTATGACAACTTGGTGCATGGCAAACCTCGCAGCCAGATAGAGAATGAGTAACAGCCACAGTTACAAACACACGAGTGACAAAGTCTAATCTTGTTGTAATGTTTTCGTCTGATTCATGTCATCACTGTGTATATTTTGGAGATTTTAAACCTTTTTTCCCGACGCACTTTGGTCCCAGTCTGCTCTCTTTCTTTCACATA